ATATTTATATTAATTAATAATGATAATGCTCATCATTATAATCTCTACAACTCATGAAACTGTTATTTATGAATTTAATGCTAATTCTAATATTCTAGATGGTAATTTCTTAATATTTATATTTTATATTAGGATGGCAAAACTTTAATGCGTATTCTAATTTGAATACTTGCGGAAGCATTCAATATTTTGGGTCTCCTAATTAAAATACTTATATTAGCAGGATCTTTTTAGATCTAGAACCTCATTCTCATATTATATTGGATGCACAATTTCTAATGTATTTATCATAATTAATTACAAAAGTGTTGATAACAATAATCAACCTAATATTTATATAAGATATTAATAATAAAGTTATGGACAAGTGATATCATCTTAAGGTTCAATATGTGGTGGTGCATCACCTGAACATTTGCATACTATTTCTATTACTCATTAGCATAATGGAAGAACTGTTTGGATATATATTGGATAATATTATGGAGGATTAATATCATTGAAATTAAGTATCATTAAATGTTTATATGAATGTGCTGGATGCATTGTGAATTATCATACAATTTGTTTATAATGGAAACTGCATTAATATTCATTTAATTAGAAATATATCACATATTCTGATGGATGGACCTTTTAATCAAATTATCTTTATTCCTTTCATTGTGGAAATTGCTAATATTTATCCTATTCTTAAATTAAATATTAAACTTAACTACCTCCTCATTAAGATCTATTAATAAGGTTTTTTAAATATGATTCAACTGTTATCATCGTAGACTATTTATAAGGTAAATAAACAATTAGTAATATATATTAAATAGAAATATTTATAAGAAATCATTATGATCCTATATTATAACTGAATATTAATACTCAAATATCTTCATAATCTAGTTATATAAGAGATTTTGAAGTATTTTACACTTAACCAGAAATAATGTTGATGAATTTGAATGAAGGTTGTTTAGAATAAATAGATGATAAATGTCTAATTTGTCAAGAAGGTTGGATTTAAGATGAATTTCTTGAAAATTGTCATCCAATTTGTGGAGATGGAATAATTCAAGGTTAAGAATAATGTGATAATCTAATACCTGATCAGTCTTGTTATTAATGCAAGCTTGCTTGTGTTGAAAATTGCTAAATTTGTGAATTCGGAATTTGTTTATAATGTATTGAGGGATTTATAATGAATCCCAATTTTAGTTGCGATCCGTTGTGCGGAGATGGCAATTTGACTCCATATTCATCCGAATAATGTGAACTAGCTGTTAATGGTGTGGGGGATGGTTGTCATGATTGTTAATTTATTCCAATCGCTAATTGTAAAACTCAATTATTTTCAATTTGTTTGGAATGTGAACTAGGATATAAAATGTTAGATAATGCGTGCTTTCCTTATTGCGGAGATTAAATAGCTCTTTAATAATACGAGGATTGCGATGGAAATCTTGAATCTTATGATGGTTGCTATTAATGTATGTTTGAGTGCATTGAAGATTGTAACATATGTGATCGAGGGTAATGCATTTTGAAATGTGAAGATGGATTTGAGTTTGTTGATAACGATTGTCTATCTGTTTGTGGTGATAAAATTGTAACAAAATAAGAAGATTGCGATGATGGAAACAATATAGAATTTGATGGTTGTTTTCACTGTCAGTGTTCTTGTCCAGAAAATTGCTCTAATTGTTACCATGGTACTTGTTTGGAGTGCAATGATCAATTATCGCTTATTTCAAATTAATGCAATTAATAATTAAGTTGTGGAGATGGATTGGTTCAGGAATAAGAGGAATGCGATGTTGGTAATTATTAAGCAGCCGATGGATGCAACAATTGTTTAATTGAATAAAATTGGGTTTGTATCTCAATTACAAAAGATTCTCCTAGCGAATGTGCATTTGTAAAAGCTCCAGGGTTAGTTATTAATTATCTCAATATGACTTAAAATAAATAATATATAAGCATCTAATTTAATTAAGAAGTAAAAATATATACACTTTAACCCTTATCAGAAACCTTAAAATTTGAATTGTCAGATATAGACAAGAAACACTGGAATAGCAGCTTATAAATAATTTAGGATGTTGGATCATATTTGAGTTTTGGAGAGTATGTTGTCTAAATCGAAGTCTACTAATTACTTAAATTCAGACCACTATTGACAATTTTTGTAAATCAGGAGGTTGCTAATATAGATAATGCCATTTTGGATGATGATGAAAAATAAATAACATTGCAATATCCAAATTATCTCAATGATAAACAGAAGGATTACTCTTAAAGTTTGAAAAACTTTAACAAATATTTGATTTATTGTTTATCAGGAATTACTATTATCAGTCTTCTATTAGGAAGTGGAGAGTTATTTGTTGAGATTATGGCAATCCTTTAGTTTTAGCAATACTTAAGATACATAAATTTATAATACCCTTAAAATTTAGAAATTTATTTTTCTATTTATGATATGATAACTATTCAACCTCTATTGGATTTTATGTAAGTTGAACAATTTTTCCAGTTTATTGAAATTTAGTCAAATTAAGAATATTCTGATGGAAAATTTAGTGTTTACAAGTAAAATTCAAGCTTGATCATCAATCNATTCTAATAAGCCAAACATTTGGGTTAACTTTCGGGGACTAATAAAACTTCATTTGGCTATTCCAAAACTTCTTCATTTACACCTTCTTTATTAGTATTTTACAATCCATAACTATCAGAAGATGGCATTCCATCCGGTTCTTCTGAACCATCTTATTCTTAACTTGGACCTTATGCATCTTAATCATTGTTTTTTTTAAATTCAGCTAATTCATTATTTTATTAGACAACATTTAAATTTGCTTAATCCTATACATGTTAATTTGAGGATCTTACTTTTTCAACATCTTAATGTTGCCCTACTACTTATTACAATTTTTATTCTACCACGTAACCTTCTTTATGTAAAGAGGCTTCTGCTTGATTCTCATCTTGAATTCCCTTGATGGAACTTTGAGGATTTTGAACTTATATTTATGGGATGTCTTCCTAATTTAATTTAACCTTGGTCTATTTTATTGTTTGATTCTAATAAAGGACTTTTTCTGTTTAAATTTATACAGGTTATTGCTATTCTGTATTTATTTGTTATTTTTTGTCTTCAGTACTTTAAGATTTATTTTAAATTCGTTATTATTATGCATTATTTTAATTTTTACAATTATAATCAGTCGATTAAGATTATTCTAAAGGTACTGGATGTGGTTTTAATTCTGCATAATTCTATGATTTTTGTAATTAGTTTGTGAAAATTCCATTTTTTTTATATTCTAATTACCCTACCTTTTTTATTTCTTAATTCTTATTTAATATCTTTTATTAATCACCCTAAAATCTATAATTTTTTTTTTATGTCCCTTATATTTATACATTATCTATATTCTAATATATTTAAAATTCATCTTACTGATCATCCTAATTTGAATCAGTTTGTTTCTCTTAATTGTCCTCCTGCTAGAGTTGTTTAATAATTTTTGGATTTTATTCGATATCTTTGTAAAAGAATTTAGGAGATTATAATTAGGATGAAATTTAATAATTTTGTAAACTTAGTTGCTTGGATATATTTTTAACTCCTAATATTCCTATAGGTTTCTGGTGAATCTGCTATTATTAATTCTAATTTTATCTTTGTTATTGTTAGCTGAGGGGACGGTGTTAACTTTAAATTAACTTTTAGGGGCTTTTATAACCTTGCACAAGTCTTTATTATTATTTTTAATTATTGTTATTGTTACTAGGAACTAAGGCTCGCTATTATTACTTATATTTATCCGAAGATTATCTCACTAAACTTATTAATATCTTTACTTAAATTGTTTACTTTAGCTTAAGCTTTTTATTATTGCTAATGAGGTGACTTCAATTATGTTTATACTTTGCTCACGATTATTGGAGGAAATAGTTTTTAACTTTCTTTTTCTTTTTATTTTAAATCTGCTATTCTCTTCTTCCTAAATATTTTAATTTGTTATATTTTTATTCCTTATGTTATTGTTATAATGGATTAAGAGAGTTGGATTCTAATGGATATTTTGTATTAGATTCTAATAATATACGTTAAAGTTATCATTATATATAAATCAAAAGATTATTTTTAAAATTAGCTAATACTTGTATAGCATTTTCCAAGATTTAATTAAATTGGAGAAATTTATGTCGTTTCAAGGCTTATAAAAAGCCCTATTACTCAATGGATGGGATATGATATTTAAAACTCTGTTGTATACACGATGCATCTAAACAAAAAGTTACATAGATATTGTACAACTTATTATGGTTTGTATAATACTTCTTCTTTATTTTCAAATATTACTAACTTTTATGAAATGTAATTAACAATTCTCAACGGTGAGCAAAAATCAAAGGTTCGAAATTTTAAGTTTTGGTAGATAATTTTTCTTTTTACTAGTCTTGATTTATATATAACATATGCCAGTACTCTAATTAGGATTGGTCCTCTTAACAAGCTTATTATAAACAATATCCCTTTAGAAGTATCGTTGTACTCTTAATAAAAAGAATTATATTGTTTAGATGGTAGTTGAGACATCAGTAATTACTTTTATGCTTAGTTCATTCGTTTATATCTCAGAGTTCAATGATTATATATATTAAGAGAAAAAAATCATATTGGGATGGATTTAAGCCATAATACTATCTACAGGCATTATTATTGAACTAATTTCTATCTGCATAGAATCAATATTAAAATTTAAATTAATGTGTAGAAGAAAATCAGTAACTTAGAAAAGTCAATTATTTATCTGAATATTATGAAATAATAAATTAAACCAATTTTTATAAAATTTAACAAATATTAATATTTAATCTACCTAATAATACTCTAAATAATCCAAATAAAATTAGCCAACAAATCTAAACACTTTCTTAAAATTATTGATTTTTTTTTCGGTGATATCTAATTTTAATAAAAAGCAATTTTGATAATTTGGTTTCTTTTAAAATTTATTAGCCCAACTGCTATTATTTTACAATAACTAGTGAATTAAATTGGAATTTTCATCCACCGTTTAAAAAGCTTGGATTTTTTCATATTTTTTTTTAAGTTTTATTTAATAGTCAAATAAACCTTTATTATTAACTAAGGTCATAGGATAATCGCAGAAGAAATAGGTTATGAATATGGGATTTAATAAGCCTTGAAATATATGATGAACATAGTAAATTGATTTTGGGTAAATAGGGAATGAATTAGGCTATGAAAGAGGGTATGCAATAGGAGGCGAGATCATAACAATTAAATAGAGAATGACATTTGCGATGAAATGGGTGATTAAATGAGTAATGAGGTAGTATATGAACTAGATTATGAATTATGCGAAGAAATAGACTATTAACAATTCAACCAAATGGGATATATAATAGGCGATGAACTACACAATCAAATAGGTGTTGAATTAGGGAATATCATTTAGAATATATTTGACATTGTCAAGATTAAGTTTTTCCAACATTAAAAGTCGTAATTTCTTCAAAACAAACCTTATTTATCCATAAATTTAAAACAAATGAAGTCAAATTTGTATAATTATAATCTGTAAATTTATGGTGCTTAGGGAAAGAATTCTCTTTTTTAATCATAAATTTTTTTTAAACAATACAATCAATATAAACGAATGCATCTTATTTTTAACCTAGCTAATTAAATACTTCTTATAGTATTTCTGATTTAAAATCAGTTGCAAGATGTTTTAAATTTTGTATTAATTTGTGTTTAACAAATAAAATAAATTTAAAAGGAGTAATATTCATTGTTAATTTTTTAGATTGCATTATTGTTTTCTGATGTTAGCCAATATATTTGTTAAGATGATAATGCTTCCTAGCAGTAAATATTGCTTATAGAGGAGACTCAAAATCAATCTTGTGCATAGAACTGCGTGTTGCAAACTTTTCTTAAGTAAATCGGCAACTTATAGTTTGTGTTTATTCTGTTATCAAATAATCTACTTATCTAAAAGTAATGCTGTACATTCTTAGAATAAAGTTGGAGCTCCTTGAACAATAAACCTTCTTAGAATTTCCGCAACATTTATGTATAGGTTAAATTTATTTCCTTTATTAAATTACTAATAATGATCATATAATTAAAAGGAATATTTGTAGTATTGGGGTCTAAGTATTGAAATTAATTAATAATCATAAATTATTGCTATTTAATAATCTAGAAGGTATTGTCTATTCTGAAAAGGTATATTAAATGTAAATTGTAAATCTTCATAATTATTAACAGGCCTTACCAAATATCCACTATTATAATCGATGTCTAGGATTTTGAAATCATATTCTAAATCTACAATAATGATTTTATAAGTGTATGATTATGAATTTTTTGTAGCTATTACAATCCACTCCTAAATTGTGAATGGCTAAAAGGTAGCTTTAGGAAAAAACTAATTTGATGAAGTAGTATTAATTTTAATTTTTTCTATTTAGAATCCTTACATTCTTCTTGTGATGTTAGATCTAAACAACTAACGAATGTTGACAATTATGGATCTTCATTCCAATTATATTAAACATCAAGATCTTTGCATAAGATAAAAATATTTGTATCATCTGTATATTTTTGCAATTTCTTTGTTCCATTAAATTGGCAGAGAATTCCGGCTGACTTAATCTAAACAGTTACATTTTGTTAAGAATAATATTAAATTGAAGAATCTGAAATAGTTAACTGAAATATATAAGCTGTCCAAGCACTTAAAGAGTAGCTTTGAATATTAAATTCCACTAAGTTGGAATTAATTGATTTAGTAGAATTAATGTTAGAAGGTCTAGATTTTGAATTATTTCTCTCTATTTCATAAAATTAATTTAATATTGAGAATTATCATTTGATATTTTTGAATTTTCTATGCAACTTTTAGAAACTAAAGTGAAAGCCAAATTTATAGATTCAAAAGGATAATATTACAGTTTAAACTTCGAAAAAACACTAGGGAATTATCCTGCATGTATTTAAATAAATATTTGGAAAACATTTTTTTTTTAAACAAAGTTTTGAACTTCCACAAATAAGGTAACATTAGATTAGATTGGTAATGTTTTCTCTGGGATTGTTAGATCCAATAATTGTAAATTTGTTAATTCAGTTACGAAATTAGCAATATCCCCATTTCCGTTTTACCCCTACACAATATAAGACCACGATAAGGAGATAAAACTTCTTAAGCCATCATAGAGTTTTTATTCCATTAAGATAATGTTCTCATCACAAGGATTAAAAAGATACGCAGGTAAAATTTAAATAAGCTTGATGATGATACATCATATTTGATAACAGGAGCTAATGGATTCGAAGGTTTTTGAAGTTTATTTAAAAAGAAGTAAAACAGCTTGCTATTACAATTTTTGTGACCGAATGAACTTGGCAGAAATTCAATTAAATCTCCTGGAATAATAGTGGGATTTCGACCTAGATTCAAAATTAACTATTTTTCATTATCTGGATCTATTATACACATTGGATTTATTCCTAATTTTGAAAGAGTTGTTTAGTTTAGGATGTTAAAGCAAACGTTGTTATCAAACTAAGTTGACGTAGAAAAGAAATTAGGACTTAAGGGGAAATCAAATTATGCAATTATTGCTGTCAGATCATCTGATAATGTAATCTTCATCACTGCCGCTTCGCAATCTTTGATATTATGAATATTATACTTGAACACCAAGGAGTTAATAGGGAGCTAACTGAATTTGGAGGCGGATCACAAGTCATTTGATCAGATAAAATTCTATTGCCATTACATGTCAAACATTCATACAAAGTACATGTTTTACAAGTAAAATCACATTTCAAGCAATCCACGCTCTAAAAATCATCGTAATATCCATCCTAACATCGGCAAAATTAAATTTTTTCTTCCTAAATATTTTAATTTGTTATATTTTTATTCCTTATGTTATTGTTATAATGGATTAAGAGAGTTGGATTCTAATGGATATTTTGTATTAGATTCTAATAATATACGTTAAAGTTATCATTATATATAAATCAAAAGATTATTTTTAAAATTAGCTAATACTTGTATAGCATTTTCCAAGATTTAATTAAATTGGAGAAATTTATGTCGTTTCAAGGCTTATAAAAAGCCCTATTACTCAATGGATGGGATATGATATTTAAAACTCTGTTGTATACACGATGCATCTAAACAAAAAGTTACATAGATATTGTACAACTTATTATGGTTTGTATAATACTTCTTCTTTATTTTCAAATATTACTAACTTTTATGAAATGTAATTAACAATTCTCAACAGTGAGCAAAAATCAAAGGTTCGAAATTTTAAGTTTTGGTAGATAATTTTTCTTTTTACTAGTCTTGATTTATATATAACATATGCCAGTACTCTAATTAGGATTGGTCCTCTTAACAAGCTTATTATAAACAATATCCCTTTAGAAGTATCGTTG